TGGGCAACAGGAACCAGGGTTAGGATGCCCAGGGCCACGTGGAATGCAGCGTGGACACTTGGCAGGATAAATGAAATAGATGTGGGCCAAGGAGCCTGGGAACACCAGGAGGAGGCTAGGCAGAGACGGTCACTAGCCGGGCCCTGCTGACACTTTGCTTGAGCTGGGGTGGGGGTCGCCAGGGCAAGGCAGGAGGGGGCTGCCCATGCTCACTGTGCTGCCATGGGCTCAGGGAGGCCATCCAGCTGCACAGTGCTGCCTGAAGTGTGGACAGGCCAGACTCCCTACCCTCCTTGGTGCCGCTCGAGGGTACAGTGGGCAGCAACCTGCACCTTAGAGTGGGCAGAGCTCTCAGGGTCCAGTGCAGTCCCGCTGTGGGCTCTCGCCCTTGGCACTGGACCTCGAGTCCACTCCACAGGGGCTGTGGCCCAGGTGTCCAGGAGTTGGGCCCCATCACCTGTCAGTGAAGACCTGTGCTGCCCCACGGGTCCACTGCCCTCATCTTGGACTTGGTGTCCTCCTGTGTCCTTCCTGGGACTCGGATTCCGCACACAGGAGGTGGAGATAGGAGACGTGGGCGGCCACACTGCTCCGCTCCCCTGCCCTCATCTGCCGTTCTGATGAGCAGCTCTGTGGAGCTCGAGGGCTGCTTGGTGTCCACAGGACCTGGCCTTCTCCCTGAGCCAGCACAGCACTCGTCACACGCACCTCAGCAACATGGGGACAGCGCACAAGGCGTGGGGTGGCCTAGCCATGTGCTCTGGGGCCCAGCCACCACAGGAAATGCTGCAGTGATCAGACCAGAAAGCACAGCCTTGTGTGCTGTCCTCACATTGCTGAGGTGCATGTGACAAGTGGGCAAGATGTCCCTTAGCTTCAGAGGCTTGGCCTCCTCAGCTGTGACAGAGGAACAATAACGATGACTATGGTGGTGATGGTGGTGATGATGGAGGTGATGGTGAGGGTTATGGTGATGGTGATGATGGAGGTGACAGAGATGATGGAAGTGATGATGGAGGTCACAGTGGTGATGGTGGTGAAGGTGATAGTGGTGATGGTGATGATAGTGAATTTGGTGGTGATGGCAATGGTGATGGTGATGGTAATGATGATGATGGCAATGGTGATGCTGATGGTGATGGTGATGGTGATGGTGCCTCATCCCGGGGACAGGAGACATGAGCCCATGGCCAGGCTCAGAGCAGGTCCAGAGAATGACAGATGCTGTATGAATGAACCTCTCGCTGTTCTCACCATCATCTCACATTCTTGGGTGGACGTTGCTATCCCCTCCCAGTGGACGTCTCGCTTCCCCTGGGCCCCCTCTTTATTGGACACGAGCCCAGTCCCCTTTACCAAACCTCCCTGCTGGGCTCTGCTCAGCAGCAGGCCCTTCATGAGTGACATGAACCTCCCCCTGGAAAGACAGGTGACAGTGGCCCCTGACCCTGCACCAGGCAACCTGGGAAGGATCATTGATGACATGAACCTGTTTTCCTGCCAGAGGTCCGTGATCAGTGGACTTTGCGTTGTGCCAGGCTGCGGGAGGTGGGATGACTGTGGATGGCAAGTGCTGGGTTACCTTGTTCATGAGGTCGCTGTACAGGGTCCCCACAGGAGGCTCCCAGGGCAGGGCTCAGAGCCACGGCCACCAGGGAAGTGGCTGGTGTCCCAGGCTGGCATCTGCAGTCCTAGTACATTGGCATGATGGTGTGCAGAAGTGTCACAGACTGTGCCCAGCGCCTGGCAGGAGTCCACGAGGGGCGACGTCCCCCTGGCTTCAGGCTCCTTTTTCCGCACACGTCCTTCTCAGAACGTTGTCCACTTTCTATATCGAGTCCTCTCTGCTTGTTGCTGATAGGGCAGCTCTGTAGACGTGGCCTGTGCCAAACCTGCACTCAAGGGAAAATCTCCGTGGGCAGGCTGTGCCAACCACCTGGGCCACTGGGCACAAGCATCACTTTGAGATAAAGGCTTTTGAGCTCCTGAAATCCCTCGTTTGCCTAAAGCAGGGCCTCCTGAAATAACTCCAGTGCCTTAACTCTCTGCACAGGAGCAGCTCCAGCCTCCCACTGTCACAAACCGCCTGCCATCTGCTGTGCTAAGGGCCCCCTGGTCTTTCAACACTGTCCATTGTGATTCCACAAGTGCCCCCAGCCCTCCTGCCCCATTAAGATGGCATGAAGCTCTCAAGTCTCTCGGGCCTTCAGGCATTTACTATGTATGTGAGGCTCCCATGCACAGAGTTGTATGCTTTGTTTCGTGTTAATCTGTCTTTTGTCAGTTTAATTCACAGATCCCCAGCCACTGAACGCATGAGGGTGGAGGAAAAGCTGTTCTTCCCTAAGTGTCTTGAAATTGGTTTCCTCACCTAAATCTCCACACTGTCCTGCCCGGCAACCCTCGGAGATTCCTGCACTAAATGAGTTCAAGGCGTGAGTTTGTGAAAGCAGAACCCTGACAAAGGGTCTAAGTAAAAGGATTTTTCTGGCAGAGGCTCCGCTGCACACATTCCTGTGGTTGATCTAGGCAGGCATTTTAACCCTGCTGCTCTGAGCCCAGAGGTAAGGAGGAATGGTCCTGCTGTGGCCCAGGAGCTCTGCTCAGCGTGGATCCAAGCCAGGGAGGCAGGCACCGGGAACACACTGAGGAGTCCAAGGGCCCACGAGGCTGTCTGAGGAGCTGACATTAGGGGACCCCTGGAGCACAGCCACCTCCCTGCAGGGCTCACTGCTCAGAGCTGTCCCCCACGGAGCCCACGTGGCAGGGCAAGGGCTGATGGACGCCTGCGTCCATGGAGGTCCTCCTCGGCTTGCTCTAGATTGAGGCAGCTCACCCTGAGTCCCCTCCTGGTCCATGTCTTCCTCAGATGAGTGAGACGTCCCTCTAGAGCCTGGGATGTAGGAAGGCAGTGTCCTGAGGACCCGCCCTGGGGTTTACCGCCCACCTGCCCCTAGCAGCCCTGATAGCTTGCACTGGCTCCCTGTGCACCCAGGAGGTGGGCCAAGGAGGGCCTCCAGGAGTTCAGGCAGAGGAGGCAGGAGGTTTGTGGCCACTGAGCCTCTGCAACCCCCTCCCAGGGAGGCCGTGCTCACCCCACCAGCACTCCGTACCCAAGAGCTCCCATTGGGCCAGGGTCCCTCTAGGCTACCTCCAGCCACGTCCAGCTGAACAAGGAAATGTGAGCTGGTCACTTTGGTGGTTTGCTCTGCAAGTTAAATGCGCTCATGTTTCACTCCGATATAAAAGAGCGCGATAATGCATGCTCACAGTGTTAAGGTTTGATTTGTATTCCTTACAATAATATTAAATGTCAAAAAAGAAAATTAAAAACAAAACCAAAATATGCCTGAAAAGGAGAGAGACCGAGCAGACAGAAGCCCCTTCATGTTCCAGCAGCTCAAACCTCCCTTTCCTGATTGGAGACTGGGCTGGCACTTCCATATTGGGCTGGGCCCTGTCCCCAGCCCCAGAGCCCCTGAGGGTGGCTTGTGCATGGCTGGGCACACCCTCAGCCAGGCCTGTCAGGACTCCGGGGGGCTCTGCAGGATGGTCCTTGAGCTCTGTCCCTGGGGTCCTGCTGCTCTGGGCCTGCTCTGTGGACAGGGGCAGGGCCTCCTCCAGGTTGCTGCAGGAAGCTTCTCTGTGTGGGGCTGGGAGTGACCCTCAGGGAGGCCAGAGTGTCTAGGGATACGGGTGACAGGGTCTTGGAACCTGGGGCTGGGGCATCTCAGACCCTTCAGCCCCCAGCCCTGTGGAGGTCTCCAGGGGCCCAGGGCTGCAGGCCCAGGTCAGGGGGTTTCCATGAGAGGTGGCAGAGGCCCCCGGGGCCCCCAGAGGCTGCCCCTCCCCTGCCAAGCCCACCTGTTCCAGGGGGCCTTTGAGTCAGGGCAGCGGTGAGCTGGGTCTGGGGCCAGATGAGAGGGGAGCGGGTGCCTCCCTCTGGGCTGTCCTGTGCTGGGCGGGGTCTCCTGCCTGCAGGGTGCAGGCTGAGGACACAGTGGAACAGCAGCCATTATCTCAGCAGGGCCCCCTCCCCCCTTCCCTGCCAATCACACTTGTTTTCAAAACAAATTCATGAATTGAAACATGTTGACAGGCTGAGGAGTGATGCCTATGATGCTTGATGAATGCAAAAGGAACCTGAGAAATCCAGGCCTATTTCATCCTGCAGAAAATGGACTTATTGTCCAGGCTCATAAATTTGCATAAAGGAATTTTTGCTGTAAAAGACAGCAAACTTCAGAAATGCCCTCTGTTCTTGTAGCTGTGAAACCACTTTTACTGTCCCCATACTCAGTGAAAGCCAGCCCTGCCCCGGGGACACCCAGGGAGCTTCATCTGAAGATGGAGGGTCCCCAGGGCCACCATGAAGGACTTTAAGACCCCAGGCACAACATTAGGTGACTTAATCCCTAAGCCTAAAAGCTGCAGGATGCTCTCTTACCCAGCCCCCATGTTAAAACCCCACCAATTGCACGTAGCATTTCAAGTCTTGCACAACAACAACCACAAGATGTTCCATATAGATAACCCCGGGAAGGCCAAGCTTGAGCAAACAGGGAGAAAACAGGAACCAAAAAGAGCAGGGTCTACTTTTAGGGTTTTTCCGCAGGGTGTACTTTTAGGGTTTTTCTGAGAACAAAAAGTCGAAAAACAAGTTTACCCCCTAGGTGACCCAGCTGTTGGATTCAGAGGAACCAATAGAAAGTCTGTTGCTGTGCTAAGCTAAGAACTAACCCACTTGTACCCTATAAAAGATCTGTATCCCAAAGCCCGGTGTGCCAGTTCACCGAAGCTCCGGCTGAGGTTTCGCTGAGCATCCGCAGGCGCAATAAACGCCTCTTGCTTTTTGCAGCCAGTGTCTCATGTGGTTCGTTCCGGGTTTGGGATCTGTGGATCTTTCATTTTGGAGGTTCCACCGAGATTTGAGATCCCGGTTCCGATCCCGATCCCTCTCCGGAGGACACCCGACATCACTGGGAGGTAAGCTAGCCAGCTCGAGCAGTCTAATCTATTGTTCTTGTGTGTTTCTGTTGTCTGTTTTGTGCAGCGTCTGAAAGACTAGGCATAGTCATCAGTATTCTGATTCTGAGGCAGTTCTGTGATCACTGAGGTTTCTGAGGCAGGCGGGGAAGGAGTTGACGGACTCGGACTTCACCCCTGCCACCCTGGGAGACATCCCAGGGATCAGAGGGGTCCATTTCTTTGGGGCCCCCGGTGTTTCCGAGGGATACACCGTTTTTGTAGGTGACGGAGAGGTGCAAACTTCTCCCAGGCCATTTGACTTTTTCGGTTTCCACCGAAGCCGGTCAGCGTTCTCCCTACTTGGTTTCGTTTTTGTGTCATTGTGTCTGTCTCTGTATTTCCTCTCTGAAAGTAACATGGGACAATCACTAACAACCCCTTTGAGCCTAACTCTAGATCATTGGCAAGACGTTCAAGTTGGAGCAGACAACCTGTCTGTGACGATCAAGAAAAAGAAATGGCAAACTCTCTGTACTTCAGAATGGCCAACATTTAACACCGGCTGGCCAACAGAAGGGACTTTTAACATTGGTCTTATCTTACAGGTGAAAACCCGAATCTTCACCCATGGTCCCCATGGACACCCCGACCAGATACCCTACATTGTTACCTGGGAAGATTTAGCCTCCAACCCACCCCCTTGGGTTGCTCCTTTCTCTCCACCCAAGCCCCCTCTCCGTTCTCCCCTTGAACCCTCTGCTCCCCTCATTCCGGTTCCCCCTCCCCAAACCTCTCACTTGTACCCTGTCCTTAACAAATCTGAGATCTTGCCTAAACCAGGAACAACACCAAAGAAAATCCTACCACCAGAGGACTCACCTCTAATTGACTTACTGGCTGATGAGCCTCCTCCCTATCAGCCCCAACCCTTACAAGCCCCTGAACCTGATCAGCCATTCTCCGAGGACGAAAACCAGGAAAGCCCAGCCGCCAGTGCTCCCCCGGATCCATCTCCCATGGTGGGACGACTCCGGGGGCGCAGGGATCACACCACCTCAGGAGACACTTCTAAAGTTCTCCCCCTGCGACAGACAGGGGGCCCCAATGGCCAATATCAGTACTGGCCTTTTTCTGCCTCTGACCTTTATAACTGGAAAACCCATAATCCTCCCTTTTCTAAGGACCCTATAGCTTTAACCTCTCTGATTGAGTCTATTCTAGTAACTCATCAGCCGACATGGGATGATTGCCAGCAGCTCCTGCAAATTCTCCTCACTTCAGAGGAGAAACAGAAAGTTCTTTTGGAAGCTCGCAAAAATGTGCCAGGGGACGACGGGCGCCCCACCCAACTCCCAAATCTGATTAACGAGGCTTTTCCTTTAACCCGGCCCAACTGGGACTATGCGACTGAAGCAGGTAGGGATCACCTACGTCTCTATCGCCAGTTACTCATAGCGGGTCTCCATGCAGCAGGGCGACGGCCCACCAATTTGGCTCAGGTAAGACAGACTACCCAGGGGGAAGAAGAAACTCCAACAGCTTTCCTAGAGAGATTAAAGGAAGCTTATCGGAGGTTTACCCCCTTTGATCCTGATAGTGAGGACCAGAGAGGGAACGTATCTATGGCTTTCATTTGGCAGTCCGCCCCAGATATCAGGACTAAACTGCAGAGATTAGATAACTTACAGGATTTTTCCCTAGCAGACTTACTGAAGGAAGCTGAAAAGATATATAACAAAAGAGAAACTCCAGAGGAGCGAGAGGACAGGATCAGAAAGATGCAGGAAGAACGAGAACTTAAACTTAGAGAGGAATCAGATAAGAGAGAAAGAGAAAGAGAAAAGCGGCGCAACAGGGAACTAAGTAAAATATTGGCCACTGTAGTTCAGGCAGGACATCAGGGAGACAAGGTAAACAGAGATAAGGAGCGAAGCAGACCCCATGTAGACCGAGACCAATGTGCCTACTGCAAGGAAAAAGGACACTGGGTAAAAGACTGCCCAAAGAGACCCCCCAACCCCAGGAGAAATACCAACCGGGCTCCCCAACTGCTGGCATTAGATGAAGAGTAGGGGAGTCAGGGCCAGGAGCTCCCTCCCTGAGCCCCGGGTAACCCTACAAGTAGGGGAGCAACCTGTGACCTTCCTAGTGGATACCGGAGCCCAACACTCGGTACTGACACAGACACCAGGGCCCATGAGTCACAAAACGACGTGGGTCCAAGGCGCCACTGGGAGCAAACCTTACCGATGGACCACCAAAAGAGAAGTACACCTTGCCGCAGGTAAGGTTTCCCATTCGTTTCTACACGTACCTGACTGTCCGTATCCACTGTTGGGGAGAGACTTATTGACCAAATTGAGAGCCCAAATTTATTTTAAAGATGAAGGGGCTTCCATCACGGGGCCAAATCAGACTCCCTTACATGTATTGACTTTCAAATTGGAAGACGAATATAAACTTTTTGACAAACCCTCAGTATCTATGAGAGACATGGACTATTGGCTTAGTTCCTATCCAGAGTCCTGGGCTGAAACCGGAGGAATGGGAATGGCAAAGCAACGGCCTCCAATAGTCATTCATCTAAAGGCCGCTGCTACTCCCATCAATATCAAACAATATCCTATGTCAAGGGAGGCCTATCAGGGCATTAAGCCGCACATCAAACGCCTCCTAGACCAAGGTATCCTAACACCTTGCCAATCGCCCTGGAACACCCCATTACTGCCAGTCAAGAAGCCGGGAACTAATGACTACAGACCAGTCCAAGACTTAAGAGAAGTTAACAAGAGAGTAGAAGATATTCACCCCACAGTGCCAAATCCTTACAATCTCCTTAGCACTTTACCTCCTACTCATACTTGGTATACTGTTTTGGACCTGAAAGATGCTTTTTTCTGCCTAAGACTGTCTCCCCAAAGTCAGGCTCTCTTCGCATTTGAATGGAAGGATCCCGAAGGAGGAGTCTCTGGACAACTGACCTGGACGAGACTGCCACAAGGATTCAAAAACAGCCCAACCCTCTTCAATGAGGCTTTACATCAGGATTTGGCAGACTTTCGTGTAAGACACCCTTCCCTAATCATGCTCCAATATGTAGATGACATCTTGCTGGCTGCGACCTCCGAGGAAGATTGCCAGGCAGGTACAGAAAAATTATTGCAAACTCTGGGACTATTAGGGTATAGGGCGTCAGCAAAGAAGGCCCAAATCTGTCAGACAAAAGTTACCTATCTGGGCTATGAGCTCCATGATGGTCAACGATGGTTGACAACTGCCAGAAAAGAGACTATCTCAAGTATACCAACCCCCCAGAGTCCCAAGCAACTGCGAGAATTTCTGGGGACCGCAGGTTTCTGTAGACTCTGGATTCCTGGGTTTGCTGAGATAGCAGCCCCCTTGTATCTACTGACTAAACAAGGTGACTCCTTTACCTGGACCAAGGAGCATCAATTGGCATTTGATCACATTAAATTGGCTCTTCTGTCAGCCCCCGCCTTGGGCCTGCCGGACGTTACTAAGCCTTTTGATCTATTTGTAGATGAAAAACAAGGTTATGCAAAAGGGGTCTTAACCCAAAAGCTGGGACCCTGGAGGCGACCTATAGCCTACCTGTCAAAGAAATTAGATCCAGTGGCAGCAGGATGGCCACCATGCCTCCGAATGATTGCAGCCGTGTCCCTTCTGATTAAGGATGCCACTAAACTGACTTTGGGACAGCCATTAACCCTATTAACCCCTCATGCCATTGAGACTGTAATTCGCCAGCCACCTGATCGCTGGATGTCAAATGCCCGACTCACCCATTACCAGTCTTTATTATTGGACACCGACCGAATTCAGTTCGGTCCCATGGTGACGCTGAATCCAGCGACCCTCCTGCCACTCCCAGGAGGAGCAGATCCTCACAACTGCCAGCAGATTCTTGCAGAGACGCAAGGAACCCGGCCAGACCTCACCGACCAACCGATGAAGGATGCAGAACTGGTCTGGTACACAGATGGAAGCAGTTATCTGCTCAATGGAGAACGCCGAGCAGGAGCAGCCATCACCACCGAATCTGAGGTAATTTGGGCGAGTGCACTTCCAGGCGGAACCTCAGCTCAACGGGCAGAACTGATAGCTCTGACTCAAGCTTTAAAATTGGCTGAGGGAAAGAAACTAAACGTGTACACTGACAGTACATATGCTTTTGCTACTGCTCATATACACGGAGAGATTTATAGACGCCGGGGGCTACTAACCTCAGAAGGAAAAGAGATCAAAAATAAGGCTGAAATATTAGCTTTGCTTAAAGCTTTGTTTTTGCCTAAAAAGTTAAGCATCATGCATTGTCCCGGTCATCAGAAAGGAAATACTCCAGAGGCCAAAGGGAACAGATTAGCAGATGAAACAGCCAAGAAGGCAGCCCTAGGGCCACAACTTTTGATAGTGACTCTATTGCCCCAACAAGCAGACCCACAACATGATGACCATGAGGAACACTGGGTCTATGAAGACAAGGACTTAAGTGTCATACAGAGATTGGGGGCCACTTATAACCCCGAGGAAAACGTCTGGAAATATCAAGGGAAGATTATCATGCCCCTCAAAAATTCAAAACAATTGGTAAAGTCCCTACACAGGCTGACACATCTTGGAGCTAAAAAGATGAAGGAACTCTTAGAGCGTGGGGAAGGTACTTTATATCTTCCAAACAGGGATCAACTTCTGCGCCAGGAAACAGAAAACTGTCAAGCATGTGCGCAGGTAAATGCTGGTAAGATCAAAATTGGAACAGGGATCCGGGTAAAAGGCCATAAGCCCGGAACCCATTGGGAAGTAGACTTCACTGAAATCAAACCTGGTATGCATGGCTACAAATATCTTTTGGTTTTCGTTGACACTTTCTCTGGATGGCCAGAAGCATTCCCGACCCGGCATGAGACTGCTAAAGTGGTTGCTAAGAAATTACTGGAAGAAATCTTTCCCAGGTATGGGGTACCTGGGACCATTGGGTCAGATAACGGGCCTGCCTTCGTCTCCCAGGTAAGTCAGATGGTGGCCAATATATTGGGGATTAATTGGAAATTACATTGTGCTTACCGACCCCAAAGTTCAGGACAGGTAGAAAGGATGAATAGAACCATCAAGGAGACTTTAACTAAATTAACGCTTGAAACTGGCACTAGAGACTGGGTACAACTCCTACCTTTAGCTTTGTACCGGGCCCGAAACACCCCAGGCCCACAGGGACTAACCCCATTTGAGATTCTGTACGGTGCACCGCCACCTGCTGTTAACTTTTATGAAACTGAAACTTATGCCTCCCTCACCCCATCTATGCAGACTCATTTGCGTGCCTTGCAGTTGGTCCAGAATGAGGTTTGGAGGCCTCTAGCCGCCGCATACAAGGAGGAACTCAAAACCCCCTCGCTGCTACATCCCTTCAAAGTCGGAGACACCGTCTGGGTACGTAGGCACCAGAGTAAGAACCTCGAACCGCGGTGGAAGGGACCTTACACCATCCTGCTGACCACTCCCACTGCAATCAAAGTAGACGGCATCACCGCTTGGATCCACGCTTCCCACGTGAAAGCTGCACATCCGCAGGAGTCCACAGACGCCTCTTCGGACCTAAAATGGAAGCTGCAACGCACTCAAAATCCGCTAAAGATAAGACTTACTCGCTGTTGATTCTTTCTGCCTTGCTCTTTATCAACCCTACATTAAGTGTTAGCCCCCACATCCCAAGGACTCAAACCTGGCAGGTACTCAATATAGCTGGAGAAACTGTTTGGTCCATTTCGGCTGTCCATGCCCCTGGGACATGGTGGCCCCCTCTTTACCTCAACCCCTGCGAAACCAGATTAGGAAAATCATTTGGTCTCACCGGAGAAAGAATCCTCAATCATAAAATTTGGGATGTCTGCCCCTGTCCCGCAGATAGCTTTTATGTGTGTCCCCAGGATGGTAGAAGTGCAGCTCAGGTACGCACATGTGGAGGGGAAGACTCATTCTTCTGTTCCTCCTGGTCCTGCGAGACCACAGGAGATACCTACTGGAAGCCCACCTCCAAATGGGACCTGATACAAATGGCCAAAAATTATACAGGCAAGGGGAGAACCCCCTGCTACCTAAAAATTACCTTTTCTGAAAAAGGTAAAACATCCATAGATCCCTGGCTCACTGGTAGAACATGGGGTCTTCGATGGTACCAGGTTGGATATGACCCTGGGGTCATATTCAAAATTAAATTAACTCAAGCCCCGCTTCCAACTAACCAAATCGGGCCTAACCAGGTATTAGGAGACCAAAAGGTCCCTTCCCCGCCTAAACTACCCAAAAAAAAATAAAAAGCAGAAAAAACAGAAAGCTTCAGCTAAAAAGAAGGCGGGCAATGTCAAGGGAAGATAAAAAGAAAAACCCCCTAAGAACAGTAACTCAGATATGACCCAGAACCATCAGCCCTCAAATTCTTCCGGGACTGGGGACCGATTATTCGATCTAGTCCAAGGGGCATTCTATGCCCTCAACAATACTGACCCAAACCGTACCCAAGACTGTTGGCTGTGTCTCACTTCTGGCCCACCCTATTACGAAGGAATAGCCTTTCCGGCTAACTGGACCAGCAGCCCCAACCCAGACCCTAAGTGCACATCCCTGCCCAGCACCAAGCTCACTATTACTGAAGTATCCGGACAAGGGACCTGTATGGGGAACGTGCCCCCTTCCCATAAGACCCTCTGTAATACTACCCTTACCCATAAGGACTCATCACCTAAGTATTTTTGGGGCCCCCCAGGAACCTATTGGGCCTGTAATACTGGGCTAACTCCCTGCGTCTCCACGGCTGTTCTCAATTTGTCTACTGATTTCTGTGTGCTAATACAGTTGTGGCCCAGGATCTCTTACCTAACATCGGACTCTGTTATAGCACACCTGGAAGGACAAAAGCGGTACCCCAGAGAGCCCATAAGCCTAACTGTTGCTGTATTGTTGGGTGCTGGAGGAATAGCCGCCGGTATAGGGACTGGGACCGCAGCCTTAGTACAGGGAAACCAATTCTTACACCTACAAGCAGCTATGAATGAGGACCTGACCGCAATGGCAAAATCTATTTCTGCTTTAGAAAAATCTCTCACTTCCCTCTCAGAGGTTGTATTACAAAATAGAAGGGGATTAGA